GGTCTCCGAACTGCATATAAACAGATGAGCTGTCCGCTCTCTTCACCTGTTACGGTCGAGCGAAATATACAACCTCGCCTGAAGGGTCTATCTTCCGTGCTCTCTCTGGTCGGGTTTTGGGGGTCGTACTGGTTCGTGGGGCGCTTTCGTTACGGTTCAGACTCGCTTGGGGTAGAGCAGTCGGGCGTACCAGTGTACCGTCACTATTCTGCTGGATCGAACGCTTCGGTTCTTGGGTCTCTGCTGCCGCACGTATCGTTGGTGACGGCTCATGCTAATGCAGTCGTATCGTCCATTCGCAACGTTACAACAACGTGTTCAGATTTCACATAGCCGCACTGAACACTCAAGGCTACTTATCGTGTGAAAAGAGATGACGGAGCCAAAATTTCCATTACTACAGATTCCGTGAAAAATTTTAGGTTGACTGTATTTGCCCGTAGTTGGCAGTCAAACTTCTTGCGTCAAGTCCAGTGATACTGGGTCGTTCTCGGGGGAGTGGCTCGGTTCCGAGGTGAAGAACGAAGCTAAAAAGGGTGAAACTTCGGCCGGTGCTTGTAGCGACAGAAAATATCGCGACCTGTATGAATGCTGTTCGAGACGAAGCCGGTGTCGGTGTCGATAATCCCCCACTCCACTATTTGAACGATTGTCCGATACCCATTCCGGATGCATCTTCTTTAGTGTATTCATTAATCTACACACTACTTGTTTCCGGCTCGATCGAAGCGAAACCATCATCTGGTAAGATCGTCCGACCGTGGACAAGCTTTCCAGCTTTCCGGTAAACAGCCGTGCAATCGTGAAGCCACTTAAATCAGTTGGGACGGGATTGTGGAACCCTTTTTAAAAATTCAGCAAACGTGCGTGCACAACACGTCATGCTTCCAGATCCGCAGTATGTGCATACAATGGAGAGAGCAAGTGTAAAGCTGGCCAACATGACATATGACAAAATAAATATCACATTACAGCGAGACGTCAAGTTCATGTGTGTGCGCGCGCGATAAACCGTTAGGATGGGGAAATGGAATGGTATGCGAACTGAGGCTACTTTTTCGGTGCAACAGGAACACGGAGAAATATCGTTCCGAAATTTAATCAGTCAGACAATGCGGAGGTAGTTATGGGAATATAAAAGAACAAATCGAATCCCGGGAATGTGGCTTGTGAGCGAGAAAAACAATTGGGTGGAACAAGGACACGCCTGCATATCGGACAAAAGGGGATACACTCAATCTTAACGAAAGCGACCTCAGAGACAGAGGAGCGGATGAAAAAGTGCCTTCTCAAATCCCGAGAAACATTTCAACGATCCATTTCAGACAACACACACACATTCGCTTGCCTGCCGAACGCGTTCTGTACCGAGGCCACTGTTTGCGATTTCGGGAGCATGCCTGAGAGTATGGTTGCGGCGCTGAACACACGACCTGATCCAGGGGAACGGCAGCACCAGTCTAGGTTACAACTCATCAACTATACACCGGGAGTTTGAATGATAATGTGTCGTTGGCTCAGAACGGAAAACCGGTGGTACCAAGGAACACTGTGAACGCCACTGATTCTCATTCTGTTGCTGGTTTTGCGTTCTCTAACTGCTGGCACTTTATTCGATGCAGGCTAATGGCTGAATACAAACATGATCGAAATCCATGGGGTTCAAATCACACACACACAATCCCATTGGCGTGCAAACATGAAGTCGGATACGAGTCCGCGGCACAAGAAAGATTGGTACAAAATAAATCGCTTGGAGGTTACTTTGCCATAAGCGTAGCAGCTGGATTAACCCGCACTGGCATACACTTGAAAATAGGTTGAACAGAGAGCTCTCTCACGCGAGCGAGAGAACGGATCGATTCAAGTGTGCGGCGTATTTTTCTCAGAAGGATATAAAACTTGCCCGGGGTTCGCATGTGCGATTGCACTGTGCGGTATTAGAGTTTAAATGAGTTATATACAAACTTTCAGCCAAAAAGAGACCACTGTAAGAATATTGGCCAAATGAGGAGGAAACGTGGGACACAAAAAGTGCACAAATGTGAATCAACTAAGTAAATCCATTAGAAAGATCACAATGAACGCCCTCCTTGTCGATCAGTGTCCCGGGGAGGATATAATACAAGAGTTTCTGTCTGCGGATATGCGAGACGGGATATGTTTGTACCTAGAACGGGTGGAGGGATGAGATTTGCATGCACTCAGGTCAGAGTGTAGAGGATGAGTTCAATCAGATAGCATATTGTCAGCAAACTTCAAGCACGTACTAATATGAGCATCACAGACATTTTCAATCAGAACAGATGAAGGAATTTGGGAGACACGGCTGACCATTGAGAGGTCACGCCTCATCAGAATGAAATTCGTTTTTAGAAAATCAGGGGAAATTACAGAGGAGCAGTAATGGGATACAAGCAGAAAACATTGTTGAACAAAGTGAGAACGATCGGTCTGTAAAATTTCACGATTGGGATCATTGTTGTCCGTTTTGGGATGGGTGG